CAGCCAAGTAAGGCGATGGGCGCTGTGGACAGTAGGAGCGACGTGTGGGTGTACTTTTTATTTGTTGTTAAAAAGTTTTATTTTTCTATTTACAATTACGGCGTTTTATTTCTATGTAATATTGATGAATTGAAGATCTTTCATCCTTATAACCTCTGATTCGAAAGTTATAAGGGCATACAGTATACATCTAACTTTTATATTTCAATGTTTTTAACTTTTATGTAGGAATGTTTTACCATGTTATAAGCTCTTCTTATTTTCCAATTTCTTATGATAATGAAGCCATGCAGATAACATGTTATAATGAGATAACATGGCATTCTCATCATTCTTAATCATAATACCTATAATGTTTATCATAATCATATTGATCATAATGATGATAATAATGATAATTAGAATAACTACAACATCTGATGGAAAGGATTATAAGGACTAATAAGTACAATAAACATAGGAATAATGATAATATCAATAATGACAACAGCTATAACAATAATGATAATGATTACAATAGTAACAATGGTGATGAATTGATAAAATTATATTGATAATAATGAGAGTATACACGTAGCAGTAATAGTTAGCCTGCCACCACCATTTTGAGGGATGGTCCCCTTAAAGGCATTCCCGGAAACTTTATGAAACCTGACAAATTGACGAACAGAGAATAAACTCAGATTTCTGTTGGTGATCCATCAAGCGATCTTCCTTTTGGTGATATGAAACAGAGAGCATTTATCTGGGACACTGTTATACGTTGAAGAGATTTGCAACAGTTTCAGATTTAAATACTAAATTTCTATGTTGCTCTGATAATGCAAATGCATAGGAGTTTCGAGTCCTCTGATATATCCTGAAATTTGGAGCTGCTTAAAGCACTGAACCCAGTAAATGTATGTCCAGGGAAGACCTCAGTGGGGAATGGCGGGGGCTAACAGTACCTGCGGGCGAAAAAGAGGTTCAGAAGCCGTTAGTTGAACCCGGAAAGTTATGGCATGTTATTTCCCTTGGGAGGTGTGGTGATGAACCAGGATTTTCCACTGTTTCAGGAATGATGGACTTAATGTCACTGCCACATTCATCTGATGCAGCAGAGAGGATCTTCTCTCTGGTGACTGACATAAAGGCAAAAACTATCTCGACTAAAGACGGGCACTCAGAATGGATTAGTTCATAGCATATCTGTTACTTGGTGTTACTGGTGTGAAATGTACGGCTAGGGAACCCTCCCAGCAACTAATGGATAAAATACTCACACACACGCATATATATGTATACATATATATATATATATATATATATATATATATATATATATATATATATATATATATATATATATATATATATGTATATATATATATATATATATATATATATATATATATATATATATATATATATATATATATATGTATATATATACATATATATGTATATACACATAAATATATATATATATGTATATATATATATATATATATATATATATATATATATATATATATATATGTATATATGTATATATACATATACATGCATACACACACACGCACACACACACACACACACACACACACACACACACACACACACACACACACACACACACACACACACACACACACATACATATATATATATACATATATATATATATATATATATATATATAAATATATATATATATATGCACACAGAGGTGCAAATACATTTAGTCTAGCGCTGGATGCAATGATATCCTCATTAAATTAACTGAATAATGCATCATAGAGTGTAGCATCAAACTAGAACTTTCAATTTTCTTCCAGTTCGAATAGAGAGGGCGCCCCGCGTGGCATCAGCAATACAATTCAGATTTGCGAAGATCTAGCTTCGCCCGGGCCTCAACGATGCCCCGGTGTTTATAAACGACTCCGCCCCTATGATGAAGGGCAGAGTCGTAGGAAAGTGTAACGCGACAGATTTTGACGGCGGAAAGTAATTTATGAATTTCATGAGTTTTGGTACGTTGAGTTTCATGAATTTCGGTACGTTATGCTGATGTGGTACTTTTCAGTAGCCGAAATGGAAATATTGGTAAAAACAGATTGGCAACTCTGGAACGACGAGTCAGTCCGGAATGAAGTTTTCTTTCACGACAGTAACCCCCTGGCCGTCAACCGGGTCGCCCAGAACAGTACAACTCTCTGTTACTTAGTTATAATTTGTGAAATCAAGGTATATAATGCCGTGTATCTATTGGCCGAACGTGATTTGTGATGTTGATTTCTATATGCGACTGTAATTCCCTTAGTTAAAAAAAAATTGCGGATTAGAAATGTATTGACTCTGACGTGAGTTTTCGATATGCTTCGATATGGAAGATGGTATAATGCAGTGTCGCATTGATGTGAACACACACACACACACACACACACACACACACACACACACACACACACACACACACACACACACACACACACACACACACACTCACTCACACACATATATTTCTGTTAAGATATGTTGAGTTTATTCAATTATTCGACAGGTTTTTATGGATTATCATATCAGTTTGATCAATCTTTTGATTATGGTTTACTTACGCTGACTATAGTTTATGTTATAATATATACCGCTATACATATAACAGTGAGAGTGGTGGTGATAGGTGTAGTTATGGATCTAATAATAGTGATAATAATTATTATATGATGAGGATGATGATGCAATAGTGGTGACGATGACTATAATTATGGTAATAAAAATAATTATAATAATACTAATGACGGCTAAAATGGTAATAATGATAATAACAATGATGATAATGATAATAATGACAATGACCATAATGATGATAATAGTAACGATAATAAAAAATGATAGTAATAAGGATAATAATGATAATGGTTATAATAATGATACTAGCAGTGATAATGATGGAAATATTAATAATAATGATGATTAATAAAGTGATTATTGATAGCAATGCCGTTTGTTATTATAATTGTCACTATTTTTGTTATCATCATCTGTTATTATTGTTATTATTATTGTTGTTGTTATTATCATTATCATTATTATCATCAGTGTTACCATTGTTATCATTATTGTAATCATTGTCAGTATTTTCACTAGTATTATCATTATTTTAGTATTGCTATTATTATCATCATTACTCTCATTACTTTTATTATTATATTTGTTATTGTTGTTATTATAATAACTAATATTATCACAACCATTAATATTGTAACCTCGCTATACTGAACAATGCTAAGGTGATAACTAGCGAGAGAAGACCTGTTATCATTGCCAATTTAGCGTCAGTGGTTGTTAGCAACAGAATCTTGACGCAGATCATTGGATTGATTAATTGGATGATGTACTACACAAAAGAATTTCAAGGTGGAGTTATTCTGATTGAAAGTCCTCGGAATTAAAGTTTTTTTCGGATTATTATTGTCAGCGTGTGATCGTGGGTTGGCAGTGTGACGTCATCATCCTGAGTCGACCTGGGCACGGCGCCGTATCTCATTAGAGACAGATTCAGGTAATTATATCAGGTAATTTTAGCCTTGATTTTCTTACCAATTACGGATTTAGCACGTAATACTTAGAATATATTTTAAAGTCTTGACTCTATCTGTACGGATATTTTTTTTCCTTTGAATCATCTGGTGCAGAGCGTCATGAGATATCAGATATAGCTACATACATATTTATTTGTAAAATGTACTTGATGTTATTTTATGTTCCACACGTAAAACCAAAATTCCCCAATTTTATTTATGACAACGAAGTGTTTCTTACCTTCCACAGACGTCTGATTATCCTAGGGAAAAAGTCTTTTTCATTTTCGGGTTCAAAAGGCTGAATGGAAATGGAGCTACCTAGTTATATGTACCTCGCCTTAGGCCGTTTTCACACCAAAGTGGCACATTAATAAAAAAACAAAACAAAAAAAAAAAACATTAAAATCATATACCAAATGATATGGAAAGAGTAGAGTACATAGAGTAGGTTTGACGTGTGAATGACGCTTTGGTTGAGAGGGTAATGGTTGATGGTAATGCTTTAAACAAATAAATGTACTGGACATCAAAAGATATATAGCACTAGGTTAAGAGGGTAACCACGCCTCCTCGCATGCACAACTTTGCCTCTTCCGGACAATCTACATAACATTTGAACGAACTGTGGGGAAATACAAATGTGGAATTCATGTCAAACAAATTGTGTTTTCCTGTACTTCCTTTCGTTGTTCTTCTTGGAAATACAAATGTTTGTATGATTCATCACTTCAGTATAATAAACATACTCACAATGGTAGAATTATCAAAGTAGTTTTCCTTACAAGAAGGTATTGGAGCAAGTCTGCCTCTCATTCTGCCCCAAAGTCATCCATTTCATTCCTCCAAGTGACAGATATTTCTCACAAGATTACTTAAGACAACAACAACATCGTTAACCTCCGATGATCCCATCTCGTGAAGTGAGTGACACGCGCCACGTGTAACCATATCATTTGACACTTGGTACCTACCGAACGGATAAGTCGGATTTTGGCGTCGCACGTAGGTCGCCCGTGACACATGCGACGTGCCACTCCACTTCTGTGTGAAAGGTTTAATATATTTCCGTATGTTCGTTCTCAAATGGCGTGCCACGTGGTATGCCACGTGAGACGTGACACCTTGGTGTAAAAGCGGCCTAAGAAGCAGAGTTGGTTATTACTTGTAATATCCTCATTTTGAATAACATCAATATGAAATGATAGTGATGATAATGATGATCATTATTATCATAGATTCATTTATTGTTATTACTATAATTGTTATTGTTATTATCATTGTTATAGTTATTATTATTATCATCATCATTATCATCATTATCATTATCATAATCACTGCTACTACTACTACTACTACTGTTACGGTGATGATGATAAGAAGTGATGATAAACCTGGCATTCACCACTGATTACCTCTATTCCGCTGCACAGAGCC